ATAGAACGTTGCCACATAGCCTCTAGTTAGATAGTATATGTATACTTGTTTACTTATGTTTTGTTACCTTTCTTTGAGTGAAGGCTCACTTGACTGAATTACTTTTTCATCGAGTTCTTGTCCTTGACAACATCACAATCCAAACCTATCCAAAACTATGTCCTTAAGACCTATTTTAGAGTCTTTTCTTGTCTCAGATGTCCAAATATTGGGATGTCATGTTTCTCTTGAAGTATGAGCATCCAAAGTATATTAATATTAAGTATAAAAATTTGCTTCTTGAAATAAAATAAGCCGTCACTAAAACTATAATCTTGATACTATATATCACTGTCATAGATATTTATAGGTATTTTAATAAATAGTAATATGATTAGGTAGATATATGGAAAAGTAGATAAAAGTAGGTTAATTTTATAAGACCTTTTAAGAAAGCTTCTAAGAAGCTTCATAGATGCTGCTTGACTTTACATGTTTTTGTAATTGATTGATAGGTTAGAAACTTGGTCAACAAGTTAACCACGTCTTGGTAGCTTGTAGTATCTTACTGTAATTGCTAATAGTATGTAAAAATTAGTTAGAACATATAATATGTTTATAAGTCTTGATGTGTGTTAGAATAGTTAATAGATTAATTTAAAGAAATTTGATATAAAAAACTTTATTTTAAATTTTATCTATTTTGATTATGGAATTTATAAAATTATAAGACCTAAATATTTAGTATGAAGCCTTGAGAGGAGATTAGAGTCTAAAGCTGAAAATCTAAACTAGTAGGAGGCTTATTGGAAGGTATGAAAGCAAGGCATGGTCGGATGAAGGTAAGGAATGCGAACCTTCATCCCTATTGGTTGAATGTCATGTCCAATGGGCTTCAAGGAGGTTGCTTGAGGCCTTATTAAGAATTAGGATTTTTTTTCCAATGTCATTTGAGCTTTGAAGGCTAGAGTCAATAAGTTTAGGTTTTTGGATATGGATTGTGTGCAAATTTTGTATGATTTGGAGTTTTTATGGAATCATTAGTACTCAAAGTTAAGGTATCAATTTTATACCTATAATTTCTCTTTGAGGCATAACGTACATTTATAAAGAGCAAAGAAGGATTGACAAATGGGATTGGAGAGAATATTTTTTTTGACTACACTTTTTATATATTGTTTGATGAATTTGAAGTTTGAATGAAGAAGTTATAGAAAGTTAAAGTTAGTACATCCAAATCAAAGGCAGTTAGTAAGTGATTTTGTTCATAGTAATAGTTGGAGCCATATCTTAAGTTTTTCAACAATTTTTTGGCTCAAACCTTTTGAAGAAGGTAGATTGTATTAAAAAAACTAAAAGCTACCAAATATAACAACAAAAAAAAAGATTCGATAAAATTCTTCATTTGAAATCTAAACTAATTGAAGTTGGAAATTAGTTGTTAGTGATTGATAGTAATTTGGAGCATCAATATATCACTCTTAGAAAGTTTCGTCAAAAATAGTTTGGTCCACACGTGGTGGTGATAGTATATGATAATGCCACATATTCTCCTTGCAAGTTAGATGGTACAAGGATAAAGATATATGTGGCTGGAATTTTAAAAATAAATAAATAAATAAAACAAATAAATAAAAAATCATTTAAAAAGAGAGATAATAGATTTAATTCAAATAAACTTATAAAATTTAAAAAACTAAATTTGAAATACATAAAAGATGTAGAGACATCTAAAAAAATAAAGATATTTAGGTTGGCACATGCTAAAAGATGTGCAAGTTTTGAAGGGATAGATGATGTATTGAAAAGTGGTATAATATTTAAAAATAAAATAAAATATTATAAGAATTTAGTTTATAAAAAAGAAATAGGAAAAAAAATATAAAAGAAAAAAAAAATATAGTATTAGATATTGATAGTTTATTTCCAAAGATAAGTCAAGATAGGTTGGTATGGACTTGAGATGGAGTGGTATGGTGCTAAAGTAATGAGACATGAATTGAAGTGGAGTAACATGGGCTTGTGTTGACTTATGGACCTCTCTCTCTTTCTTTTTGCTTAGGCTTTCTCTTTAAATATAACTAATTATTTTTTAGTGTATTTCTCAAAGTAGTTTTTAGTATTTTATTTGGAGATTTTGAGATTAATTCTTCTCTTTGTTAGCTTTTTAAAAAGCTCTCATTTTCTCTAAGAAGAGATATTATGAAAATAGAATATGTTTACAAATTAGAAAAAATCTAGGTAATCTTTAGGATCTTCTTCACAAATTTTTTTGGTAGATTACTCAAAGTGTTTTTAGTATTTTATTTGGAGATTTTGAAGAATGGTTCTTTTTTTTTTTGTTAACTTTTCACAAAGCTCTTACTCATCTTAAAAAGACTTAGCATGATAGAATATATTTTAGAATAAAAGAACAACTAATTGCTCTTTAAGATCTTCTTTAGAATTTTTCTTAGTGGTTCTCTCAAAGTATTTTTAATATTTTATTTAGAAATTTTAAAGAGTGGTCCCTTTATTTGTTAGCTTTTTAAAAAGCTCTCACTTGCTCAAAGAAGAGTTTTTATAATGACATTGTATATTTATAAATAAGGAGAGAGCTAGCCCCTCTTTAAGGTCTTCTTTAAAGTTTTCTTTGATAGATTACTTAGACAGTTTTTAGTATTTTATTTGGAGATTTTGAGAAGTAGTTTCTTTCTTTCTTAGCTTTTCAAAAAGCTCTCATTGGCTTTAAAAAGAATTAGTGAATAAATGGAGTAATTTTTTGGATAAAAAAGAGTCGATTATGTTATGTTAATACAATTATTAGTTTGTTTGTTCATAAATTGTATTATAAAAAAATTTAAGAAGTAAAATTTGATATATATATATAAGAGAATTGATTAGCTCTCCAAAGAATCATTACGTGCTCAAATCTAATAAAATATGGAGCTAGAGCATTTGGTTAAGTGAAGAAGGGATGACAATTTCTTCATATTATCAAGAATATGAAGTAGTGGAGTTCATTTGAATGAAAGGTACTATTTGACCATATCTAATTGCAGCCATAAATCCTATATTTTTTAAAGCAAAGACTCTTACTTCAACATTTGGTGCTTCTATTGAGAGCAACTTTATGGCTATTAGATTGGTCAAGACAAGATTGGAGATACAGAGCAAGGAGACTCAAATAGAAGAGGTTGTTAGAACCTTATAGAGAAATTTTTAAAGACTATGCAAATGATCATAGATCAATAAGTTACCAATGCAAATAGAAAAGGAGCCACCATAGAATTAAGGGACATTATTAGTGAAGTGGAAAGATTTGATAGAAAGAATATCACTAGATTTTTTAGGATCTATACTTGTAAAATAGAAATCTATCAAGTTCTGAAAGATAAGATAATTGAAACCTTTAATTTAGCTATTGTTTCAAAAATCAAAGAAAAGGTGAGACAACTAAATGGGAGCATCTATGTGAATACATGGATTAGATTTGAAGAAAGATTGAAAGATGAATACTTTGATGAGGATATTAAAAGGATTTCCAAGAGAGGATTTCTTGATTTGATGGAGAAACAACTAGATAAATATATAGAACCAAATAAACTACTAAGAAAAATTTAAAAAAAAATTGGACAACTTCCATTATTTTAGAACCGTATTTTATTATATTTAGAAATAGTTGGTGGTCTTCATTAAGATTTTTTGGCAATAGGACATTTACTACCTTGCTTCTTAATTAATATTTAATAAGTAAGATTTTTATTTATTTCTTAGCTTAGCTAAAAAAAAATTAATTGTGGATAGAAAAAAAATAAATTCAAGATATATGTTTTTATTAAAAATATATTACTAATTATTGAAGATAATAGTATTTTAAAAAAACTACAAGTGTATAGGCTTTTAAAAAAATTAACATCTTTTAATTTTTATTCTTTATATTATAAGAGGCTCTACTCAAAAACAAATAGATAAGTTAAATATCATATACTTATAATATTAGTTTATATTTAAGATACTAATAAATCTATTACATTATTAAAATAAAAAATATAATTAATATAAATAAATTTTAAATTCATGTATCTTAAGTTTGATATAAAATTACTACATCTTAATTTATTATTCTTAAGTCTAATATGAACTTCCTACATCTCAAGTTTAATTAGTATTTTGGCTAAATCCTTCTAAAAAAAATATTAAAAATCTTTTTATTTCTTTTCATTTTATTTTTTTGCATTTCAACTTCTTTTCTTATATGTCACTACAAAAAAATTAGATTTTATTCTACTATTGGTATGCATTGTTATCATTTTGAATTTAATAAATTTAATGATTTTTGGTGTCTATTTGAGAAATATATATATAAACATAATTTAATAAATTCATTTAATAAGATTTTTTTATAAGAACAATTTTAGCATGTTCCAACTTTGTCTTCTTTTTCTTTTTTCTAATTTTGTATATATTTTGTAACTTGCAATGTGTGACAAGGCACATACATGTATTAATGCTTTGCACTTTGTAGGAAGAATGGGAGACAAATAATGAAGGGATAAATGAAGGACAAAAAAAAAACCCTTCTTGTGAGTCAAAATCATTGATTTACTTTTACTTTATTAATCAAAATAAATTAAAGATTGTAGAAAATTTCTTCGAAGGGAGGGATATCTCCGGAACAAATTTTAGCTGGAGCACACATGAACAAGGTTAGTGACAAAAGGCACAAATTTCGACAAAGTGGTTAGGATGGACAGTTCATGTACACACAACACAGCAGGGCAATTCTGCGTCTGCAACAGTCTTCTATTGTCCCTGCAGACGAGAGCTTGGGAGCAGATCTGGGACCTGAGAATGGAGTGGAATGGACTGGGAGTGTGGGATCCTGTGGATCCAAAGTAAGACGTGGTCTGCACATCCCCCCACAAGGCGCCGTGTGATATCAACCTCATCGCTCTCCCTCATTTTGCAATTACCGAAGACCGTGCTGTTGGCGTGTTACATCCACTTTGTGTTCTTTCTCACGAGATCATCTGTTTTCTGGGGGCACTTTTCAACCGCCCCATTTTCACCGCGGCTTCGCGCGTGAGTTGACGAATCTAACTTTCGGAACGTGTGAGGAGTGATTCGACTGTTTGGACACGCCAGAATCGCTGATCAGCTCCGATGCAAGATTAACCGAGGAACTAGACTGGATTTCCTGTTTAGAGGAAGATCAGCTGTATGTTCCAATTCAGATTCAGACAGTTGAGTCAAAGATGCTTACTCAGCGTATGGCTCTTCACTTGCAAATCGGTGATCCCGTTGGGGAGGAACAAACCTTCTAAATGCATCATTACTCATCGTGTAGATGCTACAATCTACGACGCATATTACTACTCACTTTTCTACACCATCGAGTCAAGCAAATATTTATTGGAACTTCAAGAAATTAAAAGTAATTCTATAAAAAGGCCACGATGACATGTTCTGGATAACTTGTAGCTGACTTCTACATCTCAATGGTTAAGTGTTTTTTGATTGAGAAGAATCGACTGGGAGCACTCAAAGGTAGCCAAGAAACGTAATCATGCATTCGTCTTCGTGTTCGAGTAATCTCTAATGCCGCATGTGACATGTCACTCTTTGAGCTCTAAAATTTCCGTAGCTGAATCCGGATTATCATAAAGGGGCCAGACTTGCTAATGCTCCCGTTTCAACACACCAAGTAGCCCGATGCAGAAGAATCATGCATGAACGATGCGGAACCATCGTTCCTTTAGATCCCTTGCTCATCGACGTTCAAAGGACCTCCACAAATCTGACATGCAGCAAGAAATCTCTGATTGATATATATTTCGACAAGATATCACAAAATGATAATTGAGGAACACCTGCATCGCCCACTTCATCGCTACTTTTATCCTTCTGCCCACTTTTTCTAGCATTTCATCCGTGTTGCAGTTGGCCATCGCGGTCCCGAGTAGTGTATCGTGTTGTGCTCACACTTCAGTTCGCACTGAACCCATACCTATGCTTTAGAGTGTAGGGTGTAAATTTATCCGTCAACTGAGAAATATGATTGAATTGGAACGCCTGGTAATGCTTCAGGGATCATAACCTGATTCCTTTGATGATGCAATTTAGCATTACAAGTGAAATTCAGGTAGAGTTTTGTCGTCGTGAACGTCGTCCTTGATGTATCTGTATGCACGGCCTGTGCTGCATCTGCGGAGAGACGCACCGGTAAACACCTACTCTTCACCTACAATCCCCCTAAGTCGGGGCCACATATGGATGCAGCTTACTATCTACACACACTAGATAGGTATGTACAGGGGTGGACGTGTACTGTGATCCTACTCGACTATATTATTATCCTGCTGAACCTACTGCTGTCTCTCAGTGAATTGGTAAACCTTCACCGTCCCCAATTCATACCTACTTCTTATCACGCTAACGCCGCCGTCTTCACTTTTGACAGGTTTGCTATAAATTGTACAAGTCTAGGACTTACGGTGGGGCAACTGCGGCGGACTTTTCATATTTGAGAATGACATCGAAGGAATGAAAACCTCATTGCATCAAAGCTCCTTGTCCAAATCACATAAAAATATGATTCTAGGCACTTAATGATCCTTTGCGGTGTTCTCGATCCAGGCTCTCTGTTATGTGCCATGTGAGGCATATGTTTGCATGATATCAACATAGCCTAGTGGGGCGGATCTTGTAAATCGGCTTGCTTTGAATATTGTGCAGGACTTCTGCTCCAACAGGTATGATTTCAAAGGAAAAGACTACTCGATGATAAGCAGGTCCTATCTTATCAGATTCTGGTAAGTTTCGCATCTAGTAGCGTGGGAAGTATACGAAGCAGCTAGTCATCTGGCAATTGGGTTGTTACATGGGTAGCGACATATTGACATCCAATTGTGAAGCTGATCACTGTGATCCGCCAGGAATGCGCCCAACTGGTGGTTTGGTAAAGCTGTGACAATATGTCGATGGGAATTGAAGAGGGGTGGAATGCGCGAAGCATGAGAATTATGTGATAGGATGGGATTTGACTGGATCTGGGGGAAGTCACTGTTGGAATCTGTTTCTGGATCGGTTAGGATCTGGGGCAGGGCGAACGGTTGACAGGAAGCGAGCGTGGGGGAGTTAGACGGAGAGGAGAGGGCAGCGGAGTAACTTAAAGTAGGCTGGCAAAGGGGAGCATGTGCAAGCCATGGCTTGGGCTATTGGCAATGCAGCTGGTGGCCTTGTGTTCGTGTTTGGATATTGTCGGTGGCGCTGATGCTGCTGACGCAGTGTTCATAGGCATCGGGGGGCTGCTTGCGTTCAACTCAACCATCGGAAGAGCTGCCAAGCCGGCTTTGGAGCTCGCTGTGAAGGATGTCAACGATGCCAAGATCTTTGAGAAGTCGCAGTTGGTGCTCCATTTGGGCAACACTAATTGCAGCGCTTTCCAAGGAGCGGCAGCTGGTAACCTAATCTCCAAATTACATGTATTATGGTTATCACAAAATCCTCCTCAAAATTGTATTCCTATAGCATTTCCTCCGTAGCTTGGGTAAATCCCTGGTGCTGTTGGATCATGATGCATACATTAGATGTGACATTTCCTAAAAATTGCCGTATTCCTGAGTTTCTGAGCATGCATGACTCAGCGATGCGATTCATCATGTCCGAGGAATCAATGGTGTCGGTGACGAAGCGTCTCTATAATGTTTTGGGTGATGGGGACAGCGATGAACTTGCTAAAGCAGGAGGTGGTGGCCATTGTGGGGCCTCAGACATCGGTTGTGTCGCACTTCGTCTCGCACATGGGCACCGCCACCCAAGTGCCACTGGTGTCGTTCTCTGCGACTGACCCCTCGCTCTCTGAGGACCAATATCCCTATTTCGTGCGTATGACGCACAGTGATAATGTGCAGATGGCTGCCATCGCAGGTAATATCGCTTTCAATTTCGCTCACATAATACAATAGCGAATTGATACATTGATTGAAGTTTTTACTAAATTCATCGGGTTTAGGCCACAGTATCTTATTGTGTACCACATAATTTTAATACATAATCTTTTGTATTCAAGAAGAACTAAAATATGTTCATATTTTTTATTGATATGTGTTAAAACTAGTTGGTGTTAAAACTAAGTTAATACACCACATTCATAAATTGATATGTATACACATTATCAAGATTATGTGTACACATAACAAATTAACAGGGTATCTTTAAATTGAAACGCGTACACAGTATCTTATTGTGTGTTAAAATTATGTGTACACATATCAATTTAAAAAAAGATTGTGTTAAAATTTTGTGGTACCCTGATCAACATATCAATTCCCAATACAATAATGCGAATTAAGCATTCTTCGGAATGACTGACGAAATTTAGGTGAATTTGTTTAATTTGTGAGTAAAATAAGTCGGCACGTATTCTGTCTTAATGCATGTGAAGCAGGAATTGGCTTTGGTTCTATCTCTCATAATTCTGTTTCTTTTGGGAAACAACTAGGGATCATTCAGTACTACGGGTGGAGAGAAGTGACCGCGCTGTACACAGATGACGATTTTGGCAACAATGGCATCGACGCACTAGGGGATGCATTGAAAGCGATAGGATCTAGTATTGTGTTCAAAGCTGGTCTAGACCCCAAGATTACCAGCGACGGCATCGGTAGAGTACTTACCAAGTTGTCGCAGATGGAGTCGCGGGTGTTGGTGGTACACATGGAGCCCAACATTGGCAAAGAGCTGTTCGTCATGGCGCAGTGGCTCCAGATGATGACCCAAGGATACGTGTGGATTGTCACCGAGGCCATGACCAGCATCATGGACTATCTGGACAAAGACTCAGATTTTCGGCAGGCGCTGCAGGGAGTGGTGGGAACTCGGAGCTACATTCCGTCATCTCCTCAGCTGCAGGACTACAAAGACAGATGGTTGGAATACCACAGTAAGGACCGCTCTCTCGGCCCCGCGCAAATGAACAATGTGTACGCATGGTACGCATACGATGCAGTCTGGATGATTGCGCATGCCATCAAAAACTTCATGCAAAAGGGCGGAGCCACCACGTTTGTACAGCCTCCAGTGTATCCTGTTGATGCCGGAGGGCAATCTGAGCTGGCCGACCTCAAGGTGTTTCAGGATGGCAGGCTGTTCATGAATACCATTCTGGAGTACCAGCAGGTCTCGGGCATCACAGGTCCTTTGCACGTGGATGAGAGAGGAGATCTCATCGGTTCCTCCTTCGAGATCGTGAACATGGGGGATAACGGATTGCGGATGGTGGGATTTTGGTCTAATTCCACAGGATGCTTGGCCTTCGCTCCGGATCGTACTGTGAGGGCCACGCGTGGAGTCAACCATGTGTTGGGTCATTCCTCCAACTCAGGGGTTAGTCATAAATTTGTGCCTGAGTTTATTATCGTCTGACTTGTTGGAGAGAATGGTCTGAGATGAATTGTAGAAAATCTAACCTGCTGCTTTTTATTGTGAGTGATAGCAGATTCAAACTGTCATCTGGCCAGGTGGGGTGACGGAGGTGCCAAGAGGGTGGGTGGTACCCAAGAATGGACGACCTCTGCTGATTGGGGTGCCCAACAAGATCGGGTACAAGGAATTCGTGAGCTCTGCAGTGGATTCCGCAAATCGGACTTCATTTCACGGGTTCTGTATTGATGTATTCCAACAAGCGCTGGCATATTTGCCCTACTCTATCTCCTACAGCTTCATGAAATATGGAAATGGCAGTTCCACCCCCAGCTACGATGCCCTCGTGAACAAGGTTGTTGAGAAGGTACGTCTTACGCATCATCATCTATGATGTTGGCAGTTGAATTCGTGGCTACAAATGGCCCAGCTTGAAATTTCATTGCATGAAGATTGTGAAAATAGAGGAGACGTTCTCGAGTGAGATAAGTGGGTGTGTAGATGGCATGAGCAGGATTTTGATGCCGTGGTTGGGGATGTGACCATTACCACGAAGCGATCCACGACAGTGGACTTCACGCAACCATACACAACATCGGGGCTGGCAGTGGTGGTACCAATCCGACAGGGTGAAGGCAACCATGCGTGGGCATTCATGCGCCCTTTCACACCGCTTATGTGGGTCACCACCGGCACTTTCTTCTTCTTCACAGGCTTGGTGTTGTGGTTTCTGGAGCACAAGAAGAATCGAGATTTCCGCGGCCGCCCCAAGAAGCAGATCGTCACAACCCTATGGTTCCTCTCCCATATCCCTCCCCTATCGATGGTTTTCCAGCAGTAACACTATATCTTAACAAGATTCTTAAAATATATCCTGGCGTGCGGTATTGAATCTGTGGGAAATGTGTTGCAGGTTCATATTTTCAACCCTCTTTTTCTCTCAAAGTGAGACCGCTTCTCTAATCTCCGTCTAATGGACCTGATTTATCATGGACATTCTTTAAGTGTGTGAAATGGCCATTGTTTGACCACGTGTTTTGGGAAAAATCGCAGATGGAGGCATGAGATGATGATGCATGATATTAATTGTGGTGGGTCGGGTTGGGGTGCGGTGGGGTGACATGACAGGGGAGAGAGTGAATAGCACTCTAGGTAGGGCAGTGCTGATCATATGGCTGTTTGTGGTGCTTATCATCATCAGCTCCTACACAGCGTCTCTGACCTCCCTGCTCACTGTACAGCAGCTCCTGCCCACCATTCAGGGCATTTCCAGTCTCCTTACCAGCAATGTCCCTATCGGCTACCAAACGGGATCCTTCGTGCGCGATTATCTGCTCCAGCTCAATGTTGCCGAAGAGCGCCTCGTGCCTCTCGACACTCTCGCAGCGTACTCGGCTGCCTTGACTAAGGGCCCCAACCGCGGAGGGGTCGGGGCCATTGTGGACGAACTCCCCTACGTGCAACTGTTTCTGTCGTCTGAGTGTGCCTTCACTATCGCGGGCCAAGAGTTCACTAAAAGTGGCTGGGGCTTTGTATACATCTACACCTACCGACTCGATTTACATGTCAATATGTATCGTTTGTGTGCAGATTTTGCTACTGATTTGATTTTTGAAGTGTGATCGAGATCTAGAAGGGAAGTTTTTATTTTCCTTGCTCAATATCCCAGTGATGGCTGAATGATTGTTGTCAGGCGTTTCCGAAGGGCTCCCAGTTAGCGATTGATTTTTCAACCGCCATTCTGAAGCTGGCAGAGAATGGAGAGTTGCAACGCATTCATGACTTATGGCTGGTCTCGGAGAGTTGTACTAAGCGCAATTTGGCGCATGATTCTACAGAGCTGGGGCTGAACACGTTCTGGGGCCTATTCCTTATCACTGGTTGTGCGTCAGTGTTTTGTTGTCTCGTGTACTGGACGCGCATGATCATTCGGCACCGCAAGGCGATCCGGGAGCGCGGCGCGAGGGATGGGCAGGTCAAAATGTCACGTCTGCAAGCCAGCAAGAGCTTTCTGAAGTCCTTACTGACTTTCATCGAGGAGGAGGAAGTGTCCACAACTGGAAGACGGTCCATGCGTCGCAAGAAAACCAGAGAGTGGGACGAGTCATCTCCCAACCAGGGCAGCTCTTCCTCCATCGCACCTACTCTATCCAGTCAAAGAATATCCAAGGCGTTGGAATCCATCACTGCCTACGCTACAGAGGAATTCTGTACTCCCCAAGTCACTAACCAGGCATGCGAATGTGTACCAACACCATCCACCACGACGATCACTTCGGTCACTACTTCTGAAGCCGGAACCAATACACGTCCTGCTCAAGCTGACACGTCTATTATGACTGAGGGAGCTTCAACAGATGAGGAGCGACCAGGAAGTGCTGGCCCTACCTCTACTCCCGATCTTGAAATTCAGGACTTCAAATTTAATGGTATCTCTAGGACTTCTTATCTGGGGTTGCAGTCCCCTTCATCATAAAAGTTTCAAGTTAGAGTTCGAAACATGATCATGTGTACTCTGCAGAGAATGGACCACAAAATCAAACAAGTCAGAGCTGCTCGCTTTAGATGTTCAGGTGTAGTGACGTAGTAATACAATAACACCAACGAATATGTTAGGTTTCCGAATGTGCCAAGATAGATGTCAGAATTGTTTCTGAAAAAAGTGCGTTGACAATGCGTCATGAACAGAAGTTACAATTAGTGGGCAGGACAAAATGCTTGATGCTTCGTACATTCCTAGATATTAGAATTTGATCCCATTACTTCTCCTTACTGTTAGGGGTTGGTAAAGACTATTCTTGGATAACTACTAACTTCAGCACTACCAAAACTACCAGTACCAGTAACATTGAAATCTTTTTTCACTGTCGTTGCAACCATTTGCAATGCACAGTGAATCAAATACGGAAACGACTATCGTCTCAAATACAAACTAAGAGGAAATAACCCTCTTGGGTACACATCTCATGGATCTTGGCAGTTGAGTGAACCTATGCATGGGTTGGACCATGGAGGGGGTTCCACCTTTACCCTGTTGACTAGCACAACTTTCAAAAAATCAGGATTGCACGGTGGATATTAACAACTCAAAACAGACCTTGGAAAATAAAAAGTGGCTGAGCATCGACTATATATAAAAACACACACACAGATGTATATGTGTGTGTGTGTAGACATATCTGTATGCCAAATATAGTATTGGAAATTAATAACAATTAAAGCTAAGAAGCTTGTTTAGCACCTGAAATTTGGAATTTACTACTGAATTGTAAGACACAAGTTATCGAACAGCTTCCTTTGAAGCAATGTAGTTGGAGTTTTGTAGCAAGACCCACTTCGGCACGTTATTATAGACTTGTGCATATATTTTGCAAGACGTTTAAAATATTGAAAAAAACTGTGAATACTATTCGACGGTGCAGGCAGAAATGCGAAAACCAAGCATTCTTAGTCCACCAACTTTCATGCCAGTGTCGTAGTCACAACGAACAATCATTAATTCGATTACACGATTTTCGGTCCTACCTATGTTACTGGTACTACCATCACTTCGAATTCCTAATTTCCCGACCTAAATATGAGTACACAGTAAGGACCCATAATTCGGTATCACCGCTCAGGGCAGAAAAGAAAACCTTAAGGGCTAAGGTCCCATGGCCCCCTTCCAATGTTCTACAGTACAGTATGCCTAGAATCTTAGATTAGCTACTCTGCGGTCCTAGTACAGTCTAATAGACTGATAAATTATTGATAGGGTTAATAAACCCTGTTCTTTCAATGAAATGCCTATTGATCGCATGCCCCCTTTTCAGCCCAGAATATTATGCTGTGACAATAGTATTAAAATAACTAGTTGCGACTACAGGCTTTGCGACATCCAAACCTTCACCTGAGTAAGTTCTGTCAATAATAATTTTGTTATCATCCAGTCTCTTTCCTGATACCGTCTTGTTCACATGCTTTAACTCATGGTCTCTCACAGCAGGCACAATTGAGGAACTGCTGAGATCGAAGTCCTTGGAAGTGGCACGTCCACTGCTAACTACAAGGTCACGTATGATTCCAACAAAATCGTCATCACACAAAAGTGTCTCCATAGGAATATGTACTCCTGCAGCCAAACGCCATGTAATTGAGCAATTCGATAAGCCTTGAAAGCTTTTCTTAAACTAACTCCGAAATCAGAAATGCATTTAAAATAAAAGATGTATTTGTACCAAGGTCACGGAAGCGTACAAGAGTCTTTACGCAGGTTCTAGAAACATACTTCAATTCAGATCTAGAACTACCCAAGATGCAATAGCGCAACTTACTGAATCGCCAATAGTGTCTTGGGTTGGTGGGGTCATTGATAGTCTCTTCGTTGGCTGGTCGCTTGGCATACTCATCTTTCAGTGCCATAAGATCCTGTAGGGGAAATATTGCCCACATTGATGGAGATTCCAGGTGCTGCTGGAGAATAAGATGGGAAACATGAGGATCACAAGTTTCGGGTGGGGGATCTGTGAGCCCCAACATATTCCTAAAGAACCGCTCCCTTCTACCTTCATCTTCTTCCCACCATGCCCGCATAGTCGATGAATCATGGCATGATGGAGCACAAACTGTCATGTATTCATAATCAGCTGGATTGCCGAACTCTTGTCCAGGAGCACTGGGCATTCGCTGAATTCTAAGACCCAGAAGCCCGAGTTCGCTTAAGACCTATTCCAAAAGCAAACATGTTCAATCGTTGAGAATTATGACATTTCGGGAGGGGGGGAGGGGGGGGGGGGGGTGTTTAACATGAAATCTAATAAATTCTATCGAACAGCAAGCACAACTACGTAGATCTAATTCCTAAACCGAGAACAGTGAATGTACAACAACAAAATGCTCATCCACGAACTCACTGGTTGAACACAAGCTGGAACCATCCCAAGATCTTCTCCACAGCATAGCATATCAGACGAATTCAGCAAAGCAGGCAAAGTCATCAGAGCATTATCACGCCATAGTTGCTCCTGACGATGAAAAAAGTAATCGTTGTATTTGCTCTTCAGAACATTCTTACTGCAAGACAAAGCAACCACTTGGGTGAAGCGACTGTAAGGTATCTGTCGTACAGTGGATCCAAGGCTGAAAATGAATCAACTTCCAGAATAAACAAGTACACAATGAGATCCCGTAAAAATCTATTTGAAAACAATATTATTACTATCCATAGGCAGAATCATATAATTGAACTTCACCTGTGGTCATCCAGCTCGTCGAAGCTGACTGTTTTATCCATGCCAAAACGTGGGTAGAATTTTGACGGATCATCTCTATCTCGCATAAGGATAACTTCCTGCAGAAATGAATACAATGAATATTAGACTCAAGTTCACCATCACTGGGCAATGTTTCATCTTATCTATATTCTGCACATTCATTGACATATACTATATGTACATCAGCGAACTCCACTAGTTTACTGTCTCATCTATAAGAAAACGCATAGTAAGAAGGATCTATTAGAAAAACCCATATTAACTCGTGGCTTGAGGTGAGTATACATGTAGGAGATCAAAGAGTCGGGTTCGATCGGCCTCGGCCTCTTGAATTGCAAATGACGACGCATTATCTTTCAACGTCGTTGCTGAAATGATCTTCTTCTCGGTATTATATTCCTCTTTGAATTGATAGCACAAGTGTTCGAACTCATCGAAGTAATTTTCTGCTACTTCTGTCCATCTATCCCCGAATTTCCCTTGAAGAATATGACAACGCACGTACGGTGTACTCAATCGCTGGAAATCCCATATACCTTCTCTCTCCAATTCCTCCTACAAAAGTGAACAAAGATGATCAGCAAGAGACTAAAAATAAATAAAGTAATGAAAAAAAAGAAAAAAAGAAAACTTGTTGACACTAAGATCGTCAATGCTACAGGTGATGAGGCTTACTGTGCTGAGAGGAATGGATGGCCTAAATCTTCCCATAAGTCCAGTTACGGCATGATCAGGCATCTCCCAAATACGGAAGAACCCCAAAACATGATCTATCCTGTAGGCACTGAAGTATTTCGCCATCTGCTTAAAAACAATAGAAGGTTCAGTGAAGAGCGGTTTATTACTGACGTCCGCGGAAATCGGCCCATGACATGGACAATGGTGGCCGCTGAGCTGACAGCTAAGACCACTGGAGTTCCCAAACAAAAGAAACTGCCTACGTATGAAACGTCAGACACCTTTAAACAAGAATGACCATAAGTTGTAGCTTAACAATGTCCTTTTACACGAACAGATTCAATACAACAAAACACACTGCAAAGGCATTCTAAGCTCCGTTCTGACCTGAGAAAGTCGAGCTCTCCACCAGCCGTAGTTGTCCTTGGCCATTTCCTCCCAGACGTAGGTCGGAAATCCCCAATTCTGCCCGTTCATGTCAAAATAATCTGGTGGAGCACCAGTAGATGCAGTCATCCGGAAGAGGCTGGGAAATTGCCAGGTATCTACACTGTTACGATCTACGCCAATAGGTAAATCTCCTTTGAGCACTACATGCTTCTTCATAGCATAATCTCTTACTTCTGCGAGTTGCGAATGCAGATGAAATTGGAGGTAATAACTGAAGGCAACAGCATCGTAATAGTCCCCCATTGGTGAGACGAGTTTATCTAACTGCACACAGACATACATCCGACTTCAGGATTCGACATATGTAACCATATAAATTATTCAGTAAGCTTGTCGATACAGGAAAAAATGATAGAGGATCTGAGACGTTGAAAAATACAGATGGAATAAACAACATGCGATAACAATACTTCGCGAGGAAAAGTTACCTTCTCCTGTGTAAAATCACCATACAAACCCCATTGAGAGTGATCTGAAGTGCCAAAAAGGTTACGCAAAAAGCAAAATGCAGCATAAGGTTGCAGCCAACCCTGCAGAAAAGATACCAAGAAACTTAGGTTGAGGCAGGGACATTAACAACCTTGAGGAAACAAGATAAGTCCAAAAAATGTAGTTTTGGGTACACTATTATTAGATGCAGCATGTAGTTTATACGAAATTATATATATATATATATATATATATATATATAAACGAACACACACACACACACACACATAGTCGAGTGAGTGTTAATCACCTTATTTTCATCAAAGTACTTCTTGAACAATGCTGAATTAAAAACTAGATCCTTCTCCAGATTATAAACTCTTTTGGCTATGGATAACTTTGCAGCCAAAGTTGCCTCATAATCAACCTCCTTCATATCCAACTGTTTCCTGTAATTCTCAATGTCCTCCTACACATATAAAGAACAGAAACAGTAATGACCATGAGCCTCATTAAAGAAATCGCAAGGCACAAAAGAAACTGATTCAAATTAAATGGGGACACAATTGACCGGATGATAATACCTTGATATCATTTGGGAGCTTGTTTGAGAGCGCTTGAAGCCGAAGGTACAGTGGATGCAATGCAAATACAGACAATGAGCTGCACAAATCAAAGAAAACCAGCCAATTAATACTTCTATCACAAAATATGCCCTGTTCTGTATACCCCGTGTGCTACAGTCCTTTCAGAGTTTCATGACAGCAAGCAAAGGATCAGTGTCCAGTGGATTGAACTTTCAGGTCTCACCTGTACGGATATGAGTCCCACCACATCATGTTGACTGAAGTGTCATTAACGGGCAATAATTGGACTAGACGCATTCCTGTCTTAACTGCCATATCAACCATCAATTTAAGATCCAAAAACTCTCCGGCACCCACACTTTCCGTCGATCGAATAGCAAACACCGGTATTGCAACACCTGCCCCTCTCCATGGCTTGGACTGTCAACAAAATATGGAAACGTTACCATATGTTCAAGTCATGTACGAGCGTGTGAAATCCTCACACTGAAAAGCTTTCCGTCCAAGCATACGAGAATGCAATGAGACTTAAGAATACGAAGACAACGGGAGTTAATGAAACTAATGGAGATGAATTATGTCAGCAGGGAACAGAAAAATAAATAAAAAAGCATCGCGACTAACAATAGAAGAAATTGTACGGCATATCATTATAAGCGAGAAAGGATTACAAATCAGTCATTCAGAAATCCGGAGATAAAAACATTGAACAGGAACTAAGCAGCCGGCTGAGATAGACTTACTCTGAAGCTTCCATCAGCTGCAATAAGCACAGAGCTAGACTTCTTTGCGGATAAACTTAATGATAGCACTCGATTTTCATCATTTTCATACGTAACTACTCCGCTACTGTTCTTCAGTATGTACTTGTACGACACAGGGAACTCCGTTCTCGAAATCGACACCAAACATTCCCAACTGTAGCCAACAGTGTTTGATAAAGCAATCGCAGCCTCATTGTTCCATTGACCCAATTCCGAAGAACTGCCTATGACGAAAACCTGGGTGCATTAACAATGTGCAAATTGAGCAAAAGTTGGCTTGCAAGCAATATGTGATACGTCTTATACACAGAGGGCGATTCAACGAGTAGTTCAACAGAAACTAAAAAGTGAAAGACCCTTTTCAAATGTGCGATGATTTAAGTAATGCAATCGAAACACATACGATTAGAGGAACTTTACCGCTTGGTCAGGATGCAGAACTGAGTTCGCTATCTTGAATTGGACGACTACAGCTTCTGCATGTCATCCTTAAAACAAATCAGATCAAATCAAAAACAAACAACAAACTACATAAAGTAATAAGATGGATTCTCAACTACGCTGTACTTGTAAGCTTAAAAAATTGTGATTCAGTCTCTAATATATCGAGAGCAAAGAGCGGTGCTGGATTGAGTATCACCCAACCTGACGGATTGAGCGGAACATTAGTAAAGCATTGCGTGGGATCCTTGCTGAGTTCCCCCTCAATATGTGTGGATTTGCAAGCCTCATCTCCGAACAGAACTTTCCTATATGCTTCCTTTGTGAAGAGCGTCTCGGGAGAATCCTAAAATAGTACAGAGATAGAAGGTTAGCGTTAAGAATGTCTTCCATTCAGCTCAAATGGGGAATACACGCTACATGCGTTTGATGCAGAAATAAACGTCGAAGACATATTCAATGAACCGGAATGTTGACTGAAGCAGGCACAGAGAACACAACTTCGAAACTTGGGATTAGTAGTCCAGAAAGCATAAAATTCACTCCGCCGTAGGTGTGTGAGTACTAGCAGTCCTTTTCGTTATGAGGAGACATCTCTACTTAGAGAAGGAGCAGCAATAACAGCACTACCTAGTAGAACATTATTCAGAACTGCCTGGCTTGTAATCAATCTCCTTTCGCTGAGAAATGTTTAGTCGCAGCACGGCGTGGATGATGGAAATACTTTAAATTTATTCTCATTAAGCAATATCCTAGACAGTTACATCATCAGCTACTGACCCGGACACCTTCTGTGGGAAATCACAGGCGGATGATTTACAACTCTTTTCATACAGTTCCATTGCTTGTGTTCGAAGATACGTTGATAAACAAGGCAGTCACTTTCAAAAAAAATAACCATGACTTCCTAACAAAAAACAGACTGAGATTACTGACAAGGTAGCAAGTGAGAAACAGGAAGGGAGGAGGTCACCTGCCACAGATCGTGGACTTCTACTGTTGCTCCATTAGACAATCCCTCCGGCAAACTGAGCACTCTCCGTGCTCCAGACTCTCGCCTCAACCCACGGAATCTATCATCCACGACGACGTAGTTATATTCTGTCTCAAAACGCTCTGATACTGAGATCGAAACCTCCCATACGAGAACGTCTCCTTCCTGACGAGGCATCAATCTTTGCCCCTTCTCCACAACCCAGGCTCCTAGTAATGCATCCGATCCAATAATCATAAGATTTTGGCCCCATTGAGTATTGTATGGAAGTTTGAATAGGATATTCAATCTCTTAAGTCTACGCAAACTGTTTGTTCGTCCACCTAGATCCCCGCCGCTTCCCATGTTCAAAATACGCACTGAACGCTTCTCCACAAACAGATTGAAATCTATACTACAAGGGAGAGGGAAGCAATATGACGGAGCAGGGTGCCAAATGTATTGACCAACCCAAGGGAGTACACTATGAAAAGCAGTGTATGCACAATTGATGCCCTTGGATGCAGCAACCGCGGGTAAACGGCACTCGTGTGGCTAGCGTAATAATAAGATTCATTAACGAGCACCCTCCTACAGCGCAACGAACAAGATGGGAAACGCTAACAAATACTGCCGCACAACTCCACGAACGTATTCAAGCAGACCTCACACATACACAACTACTATATTCTGCCTAGTCCAGCAGTGTAACCAACACAAGAAAGGAAGGAAGGAAGACAGGGGAAGAAGGGAAAAAAAAAAAACGCTGCGACGGCGGTCTCTCTCAATTTCAATACATTGACGGTGAGGGGGGGATGAGGAGCATAATGTCCTCAACAGAACAATGCGTGAAACACGACAATGGTATCCTCAATGGAAGACCTGCGCAGGAGATAGGAGGGAAAGCGCTCCAGGTGGAGGAGAGTTGTGTGAGGGAGGAAGTGTTGCAGAGAAGACCCGGAATAGTCCAGAAAGCAAGAAGGTTGTAGAGGACATGACGAAGGGGCTATATACTAGAAAGGGGAGTGCACTTGCGGGAGTTTGGTGGGGACAAACAAACGCTGCAGATTCAGAATAGAAATGCAACTGAAAGGGCACCCTTCCCTCCCCCCTCTGATACCCTACCCCTACCCTACCCCTACCCTACCCCTACCCCTCTCCCACTGCCCAGGCTGTGCCCTGCCCTGCCCGCATGACCCCCCCCTCCCCCCTCACGACAATGTACGATGGACCAATTTCATACGGCCCCTCGTGCTGTACTGCAGCGCCCATGAGTCTCACGCAGACTCACTCACATGGAAGCATCCTCCTCTCGTTATTTTACCCTCGGCGGAACACTTGTCTGATTGCCACGAATCCTGATTATTACTATGGCAACGGGATCTCGTGCGGCTGCTCCAGATGCAGCTTCATGACTTGTTGCGAAAGAAGAAAGAAAGAGAGAGTAAAATGGTCTCACACGTGGCATCATCAACACTGGAATTTTTGCTAGGCAGTGGTCCCTGTGATTCGTTGTTCCAGAGCATATATAAATAAATATTTGATGGTATGGAGAAAGAGGAAAAAACCAATACATATTAAATCTGTTGAAGAGATGGGTTTTGTTAATTCCACAAGTGTGCTCTTCTTTGTTTTGCAAAAGCATGTGTGTTTGGATGTGGATTTCCAAACGGCTCTTGAGAAAGTTAACAAAATTTGAATAAAAACTAACCCAAACTTTCAATGATCCTTTGTTAACTTTTCATTGCCAATTGGCAACTGTCTTATTGGGTGTCTTTGTAACAAGAAGGATGGACTATAATTCAAGATCTGCTTTTAAGGCCTCCAATCAACAAACTGGAAACTTGAAGCTGGGAGGGGCACAGGAGGGGGGGTATATATCTGATAACTGCTATCAAGCCCCATGTTCAGGACAGCAATCTGGCCTCATGTTCATATCATTACACAAGAGGAGAAGAAAGGAAATGAAGCTTTGCAGGAGCAAATGACACCTAAAGCAACTGGCTTTGGAATTAGAGATGAAGCTGTGAGTGCCATGTGGCAAGGGGGGGGGGTGTGGTGGTGTGTGGCAGCTTGTCCTTGTGGGTGTTCTTTTCACAAAGTTGTTTGTATTTTTCGATTTTTTGCTTCCCTCATTCCCTTTCCCTTTCCACCATCTCCCCACGTGGAAGTGCTTGCTATTCCAGGCTCGGGATTTCCCTTTTTCTGGATAGGATATGAAATGATATTTAATTACTTTCTATTTATGTTTTTATGTTTTTAAGTTTCTTTTTCTTTTTCTTTCTTTCTTTCTTTCTTTCTGCAAGATGGATCATTCTATGAATCCAAAGTTACCAGATATTATCAACCCTCAACATATAATTTACTAAAAGGTTGATGCTACACCAAGGTGATGGATGGCTCAACCTGTTCCAGCAGATCTGGAACAGTTTGCATGCAGGTTTCTCATCACACCAACTGGAGAGAAGAAAGGCAGTCATGAAGTCATGTGTGCTTCTGTGAACACTCACAAAGAAATACATAAATACAAAAAAAAATAAACAATGATTTTTTTTTAAAAAATGTAACATTGTTGCTGCCACTGCCATAGATAAAATATGCCCCATCTGGCCAGGCATTCCTCTCAGTCATTCTTCTAACATCATGCTAAGGTTAACCCCTCCAAAAGCCCTCTTTTTCACTGCTGTTTGTTGTGATCATTTTGAAAGCTTGGAAGCAAAGTCATACATATGGACCCATTTGTATAGATAATGTGACAACATCTTTTTAGGTCCAAACTGCAGCTTTCAGTTAATTTACCTCAAATGACACTTGTTGCACTTTCATTATATATAGTAAATAGCAAGGAGTTGCTGGATATTAAATACATGAAATACATCATCATCATGGGGGAGGGATAAAGGAGCAACATCTGCATGTGGAAAGATGGGCTGTTGCTGCTGAGGCTGCCATTGAGGGAAGGAGGGGTGGGAGATGGATGAGGGCAATGCAGACAAGGCAAAGGTGTCTAAATGCAATAAGGGGAGGGAAGGATAATGCTGTGTCAGGCAAGGGGGGCCAAGGAGGGCACTGGAAGCAGCAGAGGAAGAAGAGCACATTAACATCCACCATCATCTTACCCTTATCTTGTATTCCTTGCATGTCCAGCACAGCACTCTCATCTCCTGTTAACCTTCTATCCAAATCCAGAACCATGTCACTTGTTGCATCATCTAGTTCAAAGCTATTCACCATGATTCTGCTTTACATCTTCCACAGACATCAGTAATTGTCATCTACCAGGTGAATGTGTGATTGAATGAACAGAGGCATGTCTTCCAATATTCTTTTTCATTAGTACTATGTCACATTTGGTAATTGGTAAGACATTAACTAGATAAAAATAAAAGTGGGAAAGAAGTTCTAAGTTTGACAGAGGCAAACACTTTTTTCATTTCATTTCTCTTAGTTCCACACAAATGTGGGCAAATTAAATCATGCCAGAGAAATGAACAATGTCATCAATACAATAAAAAAATCTCCTCTGTATAGCTAATAAAAGATAATTATATATAGTTCTGTATAATTAACTACAGCCAGATGTCTGATATACATAAACTACATCAGTGAGTGTTAGTTTTAAAGACAAGCACTTGTTATTGACAAATGATGAAAATTCAAATCAGATTATCAAAAAAATTAACAAAGATATGAACAAAATGGAACATGTGTACTCACAAACTCTAAAATTTAGAATGATAAATTTCTTAGTGACAGATCACATTAGTTTATGGACAGTAACTTTGTAATAACATACCAATGACATCACTTTCATAAGTCATACTTTCAATAATATTTAGCTTTTTGCAGTTATGTTGTCTTTTTGGATTTTAAATGAATAAGCTGTTACTACATGTACCTTGGCAATCAGTTATAGATTCACTTATTTATTTATTGTTTTTCATGGATCTCAAAACAGTCTCTCTAGAGGATAAGTGTGAACAGTCAACAATCTATTGATACAAAAGGTTGACACTGAACTTCTATGCACACATCCATCATGATATGAAAGAGGGTAAAAGCAGTTGAGAATTTGATATATATAGTTGTATACATAGTTATATTTCTGGTTGTCCTTAAATATGATTTTGCACAGTGTATCTAAGTGCTGTGCAGGAGAGCTAAAAGTGCAGTAGTGGAGTGTGAACAAACAGAGGAAGGAGTGGATGGACAAATTGATAGATGTGCATACATCTGAATTAAAACATGAAGGACTTATTGGGGCAACTGTGGAGAGGATAAGACCCAGAATGAATCATATTGCAAGACTAACATATATATGTACACATACACATATAAATATACACCTATGAGAATGAGCCAGTCCTCATGATTTTAGATAAAAGTTCCCTACAACTACAAGAGAGGGAGGGAGAGATGGAGGCAGGAGGGCACAATTAGAGAGAGGGAGACAAAGAGGGACACATGTGCAAGTTTGTGAGTGAGTGAGTGGAGGGTCCCCCTCCTCCTTTCCTGCTTCCAACAACAGAAAAAAGACTGATCATGGCAGCTGTAGTGATTGACTGGAGCAGTATTATTGTCATTGGAGGGAGGGAGGGAGGGAGGGAGGGTCAGGGACACCTTCCTTTCCCCTGATTTTCTATTCTATTCATTCATTCCGGTTTGAGGAACACCACCTTGGAGCTTTCACTCTGTTCCCCCTCCCTACATCTGTTTTTTTCCATCTCTTTGCAAAGGTGAGCACACAGAGGCACACTCTTCCAAACAAGAGAAGAGAGAGAAGACACAGTGTTCCAAGTTGGAGTGTTCAATCCAAGCCCATCATCACCCTTCCCAAATGACTTGGGGGAGAAAGAAAAGCTATGCCATGACATTCTGTGGTTGTATCAAGATGCCCATATGGATTCTCCATTGGCTCTATGTTGGGAGACTGTAAGGACTGAGCAAGCAATACCAGCCACACAGCTCAACTTTTGAAAAGGTATTGAATAGCTCAGCACAGTGCTATGCCACCAATTGCAAATGCAGGAAAAGGATTAGCAGTATTTGCAGTATTTGCAGAAGCCCTCCTTGTTATGTTGGATTGTTCCACCTATATGATTGCTTCCACAACAGTAGTGAGTCTACGTCTGTGACTACATGTGTATGCTGTGCCCACCATCCTCTCAATCACTCTCATGCTAATTGTGTGGGAGTCAGGGGATTCTCCATTTCCATTACTTTAAATGGATGTATAAATAAAGAAGACATTGTTCTGTACAGAAGCAAACAATGACTACTACCCCACACCAAAACTGCCTGCACAGTCAACTCCCCCCTCCACATCACTTTTGTATCTTATGTTATTAAGAATCAATTCCCCATCTATGGAATTATGCATTTTGTGCAACTGAGAATTAATTTCCAGACCAGGTGTGATGTTTTTTGAGCCATTAAGAATCAACCCCCAGACTTGGCTTCACAAAGGTAAATATTTGATATTGATGTTTATCAAGTGAATAGTTTGAACAAGTATTTTCTTTATTTTTTTTTCTTTTGTTTTTTTCCCCTATTGGGCCATTAAGAATCAATCCTCCAGGCTGAGCATTTATGTTCCTTTAGTCATTGAGGATCAATCCTCTGGACTAAGCACTTATATTTCTTAGGTCAATCAAAATCACTCTCTAGACTAGGTATTTATGTTTTTTGAGCCACTACAAATGAACACCCAAACTTGATGCTTAAAAATATGAATTTTTGCAATCAATATTTATTTAAATTAATAGTTTGGAAAAATCCAATTGTTCTTTTAGTGTGCTGGCTTAAGGTAGGAATTCAAGGATAAATTACCTTATTTATTTGAAGTTATGTGATTAGAAGTTTATCTGCAAAACCCATGTTTTCTGATACAGTTGAGTAGGCTTCTTTTCTTAGATAGTAGGTTAAATGGAAGTAATCACAGAAATGCATGTCAGTGCCTCTATTCTTACGTTATAGATACGTTTCTTGTTTTTTTTATTTTGTTTCCCTTAGTCTACCTTTT